CCGCAAACCTCCCGACTTGAAGACCATCCGATTTATTTGGTCCAGCCGCAAACCTCCCGACTTGAAGACTATCCGACCTGCGGACCTTCCGACCCACAGACCTCCCGACCAGCACACTTTTCGAACTACGGACCTTCCGACCTGCGGACCTTCCGACCCGCGGACCTCCCGATCCGCAGACCTTCCGACCTGCATGACGTGTGTTAAAACATGAACCAAAATGGCATACAAATTATTGTGGTACTAATATTGTTGGTGGAGCGTCTCATGATAGTAGTGGTGGTTTGAAGAGAACCAAAATCAACGAAGCTGGTGGATATTCATCAGGTTCAAATCCTCCAACACCACAAAATGATACTTTTGATGAATCTCATCTTATTCGTCCCCCTGGTGTCAAAGCTTGCAAAAATAAGGGAAAACGAGTACAAAAGCAAGATTCAAAACATATTTTTTATAAGGATTTTGAAGAGATGAAAGCTCAAAATGCAGAAGTCATAGAACATTTGAGTCGTATTGCTGATATGAGAGAAGAAAAATGAATAAGAATATTGATCTTATCCAAGCAAAAAAGATTGAAACATTTAATATTTTGTTGGAAAGAGGTGAAAATTTGGATAAAGACGAGAAAAAGTTGAAGATCAAATTATTTAACGAATTGTTTAATTAACTGATGAATTTGTAGATACCCTTTTGCCACTAAACGACCTTTGTGTTGATCAACACTACCATTAGCCTTTCTCTTGATTCTGAAAATCCACTTACATGCTATTGGTTTGATGCCTTTGGGAAGATCAGTCACTTCCCATATGTTGTTCTTTTTCAAGAGCATGCAATTCTGCATTTATAGCATCTACCCAATCCTTGTCTTGTTGAGCTTGAGTATAAGTTGTTCGTTCATGTTCATTGATAGAGGACACAACATTCCATATTTACAAGGAAACATCATTGGCATTATTAGAGTGTTTCAAGGCAATTGGGCAGACATAATCCTTAAGCCAAGAAGGTGGTTTTCTTTATCTTAAGAGTAAGTTGTCAAAGAGACTGGGATTAATAGGAGGTGGACTGAAATTTTCTTGATCAACAACAGCATCATCAAATGATTCTACCTCTGTAATATTTGTTTGACCAGGTGAGACAAAGAGGATGGTTGCTTGATTTAGAGATGATTGGGAAGTTGGTTGAGAGTTAGAAATAATTGGAACTAATGTTTGATCATAAGTGCAGAGTTGAGGATCAGAATGATAGTAGGATGTATAAGAGACAAGAGGCACATTAGAGTGATTTAGAGAAGTAGGTGATGACCAGGGGAAGATATTTTCATAAAAGATCACATTCCTAGCTACAAGTCTCTTCTGGTTTTCAAGATCAAAGAGCTTGAAGCCCTTTTGGCCGACTGGATAACCAAGAAATATGCATTTGAAAGCTCCGGTTTCAAGTTTGTGTTTATTAGGTGATGGATTAGAAACATAACATAAACATCCAAACACCCTAAGGTGATTGTAATCAGGTTTGGCTTTGTGAAGTTTCTGATAAGGTGTATCCCAATCCAACTCATATGATGGAATTCTGTTTAGAATATAGGTGGCATGTAACAAGGCATCACCCAAAAACTTTGTTGATAAGGAGGCATGGAAAATAAGAGCACGAGTCACTTGAAGTAAGTGCTTGTGTTTAATCAATACACGACCATTTTGTTGAGGGGTGTGGGGGCAAGAGTGTTGATGGATAATGCCATGTTTATTGTAAAGTGCATTGGGAGTTAAGAAACTCAGAACCATTGTCAGTCCTAATTGTTTTAATATTACAACCAAACTGATTTTTCACATAATGAATGAAGTTTTCAATGACTTCACTCAATTGTTGTTTATCCAGCAAATAAGTCCAGATAGTTCTAGTATGGTCATCAACAATAGTTAGAAAAACCATTTAAGGTGGGGGTTCAATAAGATCCCCAGGTATCCATATGGACAAGCTCAAAGGAAGCATTGGCACAAGAATGACTGTTATTAATGAAAACCTTTGTTTGTTTGGCTTTGTGACAAATATCGCATGGCTTGTAATCACATACATGAACAAAAGATAAGTGTTCTAAGCTTTCAATGGAGGAATGACCAAGTCTATTATGCCAAAGAGTGCAATCCACAGTGGAAGAGTTAACATGATTAGAAGAATCAGGTAGGATATATAGTTTCTGTTCTTGGTATCCAGTTGCCAAAGTGACTTTAGATCTCTGGTCCTGTATAAGACAAGTAGTAGGAGAGAAGATAAGAGTGTAGTTAGTATGTTTAAGGAGACTACTAAGAGAAAATAAATTAAATTTGAAGGTGGGAAGAAAGTAAACCAAATGCAAAACTATGGTTGATGCAAGAGTGACTGTGCCAGCATATTCAGCGGTTAACCAAGATCTATTGGACAGGTAGATTTGGCTTTTAGTGTAAAGAGGTTGAAGGGTAGTGAACATAGATGGATTCTTGCAAATATAGCATGAGGCCCTACTATCAATCAACCAAGAACAATCACTCACACATGCAGCTGCAACACAAGAAAATGTACCCGAGTATTCAAAATTGGAGCTGGTTTGATTGACAACATTTACTTCATATTTTTTGCTTCATGATCCTTTGCACTTCAGCTCAAATCAAAGCTTCAATATTAGGTCCATCCTTGCTACCCTTTCCATCTGGTAGTTCGTCCAAACTTTTCCATTTGAATTCTTTTGTTTCAACAGTTGTTGTGGCACAATTTGCTGTTGAAGTTCTCTTGTCTTTCAATTCTTTAAACCAGACAGGAACTCCATGCAGAGAAAAATAGGTATCTCTTCCATGTCCTTTCTTTTTACAGTAGTCATAGATCATATTTCTTTTCTCAACTTGTTTTTTTTTCTCAACAAAAAGCTTAGAATATGAAGCAGATTTGGTTGATATATCGAATGCATTGAGTTCTGTTGTCACATGAATCTCCTTTTGCTTTTCAAATTGAACTATCAGGAAATATGCTTTCCTCATGGAAGACAAAGGGTCCATTATTAAGATTTGTCCCTTTGCACCTTCATAGCTATCATTCAACCATATTAAAAATTGTATAACCATATCTCTATCCATTCTATTCATCAGTTTTTTATAAAGATCACAAGTGCAGTGAGATCCACAAGTGCACTCATAAGGAGGGTCAACTGTTAAAAGCTCTTGCCAAAGCTCCTGCAACTTGGTTGCATAGGTGGCTATAGAATCCTCACCTTGTTTAAGAAATGTGAGAGATCTTTTTAATTGATGGATAAGGCTACCATTGGACTGGCCGTATTTTTCTTTGAGGCTTTCCCAAAGATCTTTTGCTGTTGCCATAAAGATAAAAGCTCATTGCAAATATGGGTTCATTGAGTTGATGATCCATGTGCGGACCAAAGCATCAACTTCTAACCACACTTTATACTCTGGTTCTCTTTCTTTTGGCTTAGGTTATTTTCCTGTTAGAAGCCACTTTTACCTTTGGCCATGAGTGCATTTCATACTCTATGTGACCAGATAAAATAGGTGTTTCACCTCACGGTCACAAATCCAACCCCCACACCACCAGGCCATCCCTTACGGGACTAGATATGATCATATTGATTGTGTATAAACTGATAACAAAATATGGCATTACGTACGGGTTTGTATGTGTTTCCTTAAAAAGTTTTGAATTTGAAATTTCTTTAAGTCCCAATATAATTTTGGTTCAAATATAAAAAATTTATCAATTTTAGTCCCATTATAAACCATTTCAATCAATTTTGGTCTCATTATAAACAATTTCAATCAATTTTGGTTCCATTATTACAAAACTAACAGAAATTGCTGACGTGGACGTAACGGAGTTGACGTGGCAGCTGACCTAGAAACTACACGGCCATGTACAATTATACACGACCATGTTGTCACACGGCCATGTATATTTTAGTGTATAATTATATATGGTCATGTTGTTATACGGCCATGTAACTTTATGTTTTTGTATAATTTTTTTTATATATTTTTTTAAAAAATATTTTGATTTTAGAAAAGTTGATATAGTTAAAATGAAAAAAATAAATAGTAATCCTAATATAATTAAAATTTATTAATTTTAATTCAAATATAAAAATTTATAGGATATATTCTTTTGAAATATTTTGCCTAAAATTCTACTATTCATCGAAATTTTTCCTCTTATAAACATCCAATTACACAACTATTTTTTATTTTTTATATTATTATTAAAAATTTATTTTACATTTGAATACAATTTCAAACAATTTCAACGTAGACATATATAAATTGTATTAAAATGTAAAATTAATTTTTAATACTATAATATGCAAAAATAAAAAAAAATGGTTGTGTAATTGGAGGTTTGTAAGAGGAAAATTTTGATGAATGGTAGCGTTTTAGGCAAATTTTTTTTTTAAAAATATATCCTATAATTTTTATATTTGAATTAAAATTGACACATTTTAATTATATTATTAGGATTATAATTTTTTTTTCCCAATTTAACTATATCAATTTTTTTAAATTCAAAATATATTTTTTTAAAAAATATAATTTTTTTTTTTATAAAAAATAGAAATTTACATGGCAGTGTAATAACATGACCATGTATAATTATACACTGAAATATACATGACCGTGTGACAATATGACCGTGTATAATTGTACATGGCGGTGTAGCTTCCAGGTCAGCTGCCACGTCAACTCGGTTACGCCAACGTCAGCAATTTCTGTTAATTTTTTACTTATGGAATCAAATTGATTAAAATTATTTATAATTGGACTGAGATCAAAATTAATAAATTTTAGTTATATTAAGACCAAAATTAATTTTTTTCCAAAAAAACTTAAATACCAAACTAAAAAGAAAAAAATAATACTACAGCCGAGAAAGAGATGCAAGTGGAATTAAGATACGTAATAAAAATCCTAGGCGAGTGCGTATCATGAAAACAATGTGTGTTAAAATAAAAGAAAAAGGCCCCATTGGTTGATTCTCCATAAATATCATTTGTGGTTTGCCGTTTTGACTTCAATGTTCACATTTAACAAGTCTTTTTCTCTTCTCAATTCTCTCTCTCTCTCAAATAATTGAACTGGATTTCCTGAATTTCGTTTTCTGGGTTCAGCTCAGCTCAGCTCAGCTGTAAGTCTATCCTTCTGATCTGTGGCTACCCATGCGTTTATATCCTGACATCTTGATTGTACTATCTCTATATGTCGATAGCACCTGTAAAGTAGCGCGTAATTGCTTGTGTTCTTGAAGAAAACAAAAAACTAAAACTTGACGTGGTCTTCGCAGATGACCATATATGGCTATTGCTTGCTGTACCTTCAATTCGTGGGGTGTTCCAGCTAGTTTTGGTTGGTTTAGAAATTTTTACACAGGTATTGTTGGTCGTTGTTGAAGTAAACTTGTGATTGAACCATTTTGTAGGTAGATAATGGCAATTGAATTTTGATATCAAAGTTTGAAGTTGACCTAGTTTACCTATGAATTCGTAATCGTGAAGCTATGGCATATGCGGAAGTTAATGCGTGAGGTGAGGGGGTACTGACGTTAGTAGCAATTAGGGGAGAATTAGGGTTGTTAGGTCATAGTTTTCAGGAAGTTTATTTATCTCTTTATTTGGTTCAATCTATTTGACATCTCTGGTTTTGCTCGTTGTGCTTGGTCTTTCTCAGTCCATAATTAGATTGAAGTTTGTGGATTAAACGGAGGAGGAGAGCTCTTGGTAGAGGTGGAGTCTTGTATTTGAATCTGATTGAAATTTCAGCTGACTTTGTTACAGTTTTGGACTTATGCTTGTTGTGGAATTTTTGAAATATAGGGAGAGAGATTCAAGATTTTGAACAAACTGATTGGATCTTGCAGTAAACATTTTCCAAACGTTATAATTCGGCCCTAATCTAAGTTAACACTAATTTAACTTTGGGATAATCCAGAGATTTACTTGAAGATTCTAATGAAAATCAACTCTATTGCTTATTCGGATGACTAAAAATCTTAATTTGAAGATATGGTGGTGGCTTTTGGGTTATGGTTGCACCTACTTTCGAATGGACACACTTTTTTGTTCAAAACTGAGTCCTTAAGAGTCCATTTAGCTTCCGTGGTGCTGCGCTGAGAATTATTCGGCCGAGGGGCTGAAGTGTTTTTCTGAGGTCAAAAATTTCGATATTGTTGGAACCTGAAATCCGGAGGTTCCAAGATCGTTAGTCGATTCGTCGGTTTGGATTCCGGAAGTACTCCAAAGAGCCTGCCCGTTGTCGGATTGGAGGTAGCATCTGCGATAGAGCCTGCACAGCTACAATCTTAAACGATGCTTCGAGCCTAAACGGTCGATTTCGATGAATTTAAACTAACATCTACTAAAACTCGGATAAATCTACTGGAAAGCTTGTAAAAATATGCTGGAAAATAAATTAGGCAAGAAATTACGATAATCTACTAAAACCTATGGATAAACTAGAAAATAAAAGGATAAAAGACAACAAGGATAATATATGTGATTCTTCTCGTCGTGTGTTGTGTTGTGTTCTTTTCATTATATTTATAACCTTCCTCCATAACCTCCAACTTCGTAACCTCTTTAACCTCCTTCCACTACCTCAAACGGTGTGGTAACCTCTTTCCATCAGTTCCCAACCTCCTTCCATGAGCTCCTTCCTTCCATCAGCTCCCAACTGCTTCCATTGCCTCTGGACAGGGTTCCACTTGCGTTGAACTTCTTCCGTTGCCTTTGGACCAGATCTGTCGCTTACTCCGACTTGTTTCCATCATATTTCTAGCCGGTCCACGAGGATGTGTCCCCAACAGCCTCGAGTTAAATAGAATCTTCGATTTTTCTCTTGTTAGTTTATTCCATGGAGCTTTTTGAATAGAGTATCAAAGTGCATAGGCCCTCCACTAATGTTCAGTACGAAATTATTAACCACTGCTAATGGAGGTAGTTGCTTTCTATCTTGTGGGAGACAACCTTACTTTGCTTTGCACCGCAATCCAATTGAGATAATTGTTTTCAATCCAATGGAGGCAGCAATTTCTAACCTTATGGAGGTACCATAGTCCAAGGAGTTTCTGCCAGAATGGAGGCACCATACCATAGTCCAAGGAGTTTTTGCCGAAGATCCATGGAGGCTGTTACCCTGTGGAAGCACCACAATCCAATGGAAGTTGTTGCCTTCGGCTCTCTGAAGGCAACAGTCTTTGGCTCCGAGGCTTAAGCTCCATTGCTGTTCGGCGGTTCCGTGGCCAAGGAGTTCTGGCTCCATTTTTATCTTTGAGCCTGTTTCACGTTCAGATGCTTTTGGGCCATGTCCAACAAATATTTTCATCATTTTGAGCAGAATTATTGTAAAAAGATGTATTTTGATGTATTTAATCGAGTTAAAAATATCGGCTACGTAGGACTTGTCCGAATCCGGCTAAACAAGCAGTCCATATAATCAAACAATAAAATTGATCTACTCGGTGGGGACAATGAGTCTCCCCGAACCCCCGTGCGGCTCTGCCACTGCTCCTAACTTATGTTAGAACTTGGCAAAATATCCTTACGATAATACTAAAATTAACAACAATGCTAGCTGAAATAGTGACATGATTTTCCTTGGTTAATATGTGTATGCATATGTATATATATCTATATTCATTTGAAAAGTAAGGAAGATATCAAAGTAGGTGAGTGGAACAGGTTTTTGCTGACTTCATTTGAACGTTCTTGTCATAATTTGATTGCTTTTGATGCATATCATTTCTTATTTTTGCTTATGTATATCTGTCTCTTAAACAAAATTTTCATTTAGCTACTTAATATTGAAACTGATATAAAATCTAACTTGCGAGATTCTTCAGAACATGTGTTAGTCCTTCGTGTGCGTATATTGGACTGGGATGGTGAATCCCCGAGATTTTTCTGTGTTGAATATATTTTATTTTCTACTATTACCCTTAATGTAGTGAAGGGTGCGAAAACATGTTCAATCCTTGATAAAATCATCATTCTTTTTTGCAATAGTTGGTGGAACAGCTTGACAATTGGAGCAAACAAATGCTGTAGGTGATCCACATCTTTGAAAATAAAAGGAACCTATCTTAAAAAAACATATTGAGTCTTATTGCCATATAATAATTTCATGTCGTATGTTTAATTCCTTTGCTTTTTTTTTCTTGCAGTCAAGAATAGAGTAACCATAAGAAATGTTTGATTGTGGTACGAAATCTCAATATGTTACGGGACAGCGGGACAAATTCATAAGGTATTCAGGTCTTTTACTAAGGTTCTGCATATTTATGTATTTTCATAAATATATGTCAGGAATATAAGTTGTTTGCTTTTGTTGTCTTCGCTGATTGTAATATTAGCTGAATGCAAAAAAGCAGTGTAGATGCTTCTTGAGTAAAGAAATTTATGTATTGTAATATTGTCTTACACTCGTGCTTGTCTTTTATGAGCACAATAGTGCAAAACTACAATTGCTCACCATACTCAATGTCAAAATATTATACATTTCATATTCACTTCTATGTGATATGTTTGATCGTGAGGATTTTATTTTCTGTTAAGGTTGGATGACCTGGACTCCAGGCTGTCATCCCCATCAACTTCGGTTGCAACAAACAAATGTGGCTTTAATATTGATGGCATGGGACGTGGTAGCAGAACAACTCCTTCAAAGTCCTTTAAACGGGGGATCAAAAAAGGGTCACAAGGACTAAAATCTATTGGTAGGACCCTTGGGTTCGGTGTCTCCCGAGCTGTTTTTCCAGAGGACCTCAAATCATCAGAGAAGAAAATATTTGACCCCCAGGACAAACATCTTACTTTTTGGAACAAATTTTTCGTGATGTCATGCATTTTCGCTGTGTCCGTGGATCCCCTGTTCTTCTTTCTTCCTGTATTTAAAAAGTCGTCAAACTGCCTGGACATAGATAAGAAGCTGGCCATCACAGCTACTACACTGCGTACTGTTGTTGATGCTTTCTATCTTATCCACATGGCTCTCCAATTCCGAACTGCCTATATCGCTCCATCATCACGGGTGTTTGGACGGGGTGAACTTGTGATTGATCCTGCAAAGATAGCTAAAAGATACTTGAAGTGCTATTTTATCACTGACTTCCTTGCAGTCCTTCCCCTGCCCCAGGTTAGAGAAAATTATTCAGTTTCGTGTATTATGATTTTTCTTATTATCACTTTATCTGTTCCAATAATGCCATTCAGTTCTCAGCTTCCCCTTTTAGCTTCATAGAATATATATATATATATATATGTATATGTATATATGCTTTTTCTGAGATTCATTCTTTAAATGTATTTCAGAGCTACACATGAAATTTTATGTTCTATAGTGTTTCTTGCTTTAGGGATACTATCTGGTGAATGAAGAGGATATGAGGTATCATGCTAATAAGTTTGGAATTTTTATTTACCTCGTGATTTGAAAACATGTACATTTTATGCTTTTTTTCAAGGGTTTTCTTTTGTAATGCTTTGTTCAAGTTGGCTTTCAGGGAATTGGAGTTTTTCCGGCAACTTAGTGTATATATATATATAAATTAATGCTTATTATTAATAGTTGTAGCTGAATGTGAAAATGACATAAATATATTGATGATTCCTTTATGTGATTACCTGGAAATTAAATGAAAAATATGGCTTTTTTTTTTTTTTTTTTTTTTTCCTGGGGATGTTTATTCATATATATATATATATATATATTTGGAGAGATTCTTTCTTTTGTGGCTTTTGTTTTTTGTAACTATTATGCAGCATTGTTTGTTTGTTCATCACTCAAGTTATATTGGGATGATTATTGAGGGCTTTATTCCAGAGGTATTGTTACATTTTCCTTGTTGATCTTTATGCTGCATCTTTTTTTTTTGTCAGATTGTTGTCTGGAGATATCTACACAGCTCCGATGTTTTCGCTACAAAACAAGCTCTGTTCTACATCATTTTGCTACAGTACATCCCAAGATTCATCCGGATTTTACCTTTAATTTCAGAGCTGAAAAGAACTTCCGGTGTCTTTGCTGAAACTGCTTGGGCTGGTGCAGTGTCCTATTTGCTGCTATACATGCTTGCGAGTCATGTGAGCCTTCTTAAATTATTGTTGTGTTTCATACCACCGGTTTGGTTTTATTATCTGAAGACACTTTTTTTGACTTTAGTCTGATGAATGCAACTTCCAAACATGCATAACCCAATGCACAAATACCCTACCCTTTGCCATTTCCAGCTACCCAAAATATCTGATTTTTTTTCATATAGCATTATAATGCTATCATGCAATTGAACTTGTGAACCTATTTAAACATGCATTGATTTTTTCAGATTCCATAAATATACTGATTCTTTTCGCACAATGGCTGAACTACTTTGGTTTCACCAATTATACATAAAGCTGAGTCCTATTTAGCACCTCCTATAGAAGAAGGAAAAAGAGGAGTAATTTAACAACAGAAACAACAAAGTGGGACTCTTATTTGTTATATTTAATCTATCATTCATTTGAACTTTTCCATCTAAGAAATTGTTTATCAATAATTTTGATTGAAATTTTAAAAAGTTGTTTTTTTGGTAATGTTTACTTTATGGATAAAGGCTTCGAATTTAGATAGTGATAATTCTCTTATATCTCTCTGGAAAACACCTCGTTCTGCTTAAAGGGTCTTTTTTCATACTGTGAATTGCTAAGACATCTCAATTAAATATAGAGGTACAATTTCATTCAACATCTACCGGGTGGTAACGATCATGCACTGTATATAAATATTGATATGCAAGTTTGTATTTTGTGTATGGAATAGATCACTTTTGACTTTCAACAACATTTTTAAATGTTGATTTATGTGATTTGATGGTGCTGCTTTTGCGCTGTTAATATTTCTTAGAGCACTGCATTTCTTCATCTGTTCCTTGCAGATAGTTGGCTCGTTCTGGTACTTCTTGTCTGTGGAGCGAAATGATACATGCTGGAAAAAATCCTGTAAAGACAGTGGAAATTGCACCTCCACTGAATTCTTATACTGTGGAAATCAAATGATGAAAGGTTATGATATTTGGAATAGTACAAGTAGTTCAGTCTTGAACTCTGATTGCCCTGTGGATGTAGAAGACAATGCACCATTTGATTTTGGAATCTTCAGGCAGGCTTTGTCATCTGGTGTAGTTTTCTCCAAAAAATTCCTATCCAAATATTGTTACTGTCTGTGGTGGGGGTTGCAGAACTTGAGGTAGGAAACTTATATGCAGTAGCTAGTCTCGTGCAAAAGATATTTTTATCATCGAATACCTTAGTATTCTTTCCAGTTTCCACTTATGCCTTTGTTTCCTCAAGTGAATTAAATATAGTTATATCTTTTCTTTCTTATTTAAATTAGATAATCGTCCTTACAAGTTTATTTTTGGTTGGTCCAATTGTTTTCTTTTCCGTTTTTTTTTTTTTAGCAAATAGAAGAGTAAGAGTATAGTAGCTCAGTATGTTTGATCAAATTGTTTCTCTGCATCCTTTTGATATGTAGAAATGAAACATATATTAACCCTATATGGAGAAATGAAGAAACTCTTGTGATGTGAAGAATTTTAACCAAAAAAAAAAAAAATGCAAGTAAAGGATAGGGGTGAGTAAGCCTTTGTTAATCTTAGGAGCAATAAAACTGTACCAGTATAGAGTAATGAGTTCTTCTTCATGTCATTCAAAGAGCCTTGACATGCTTTAGAAGTTCAGCACCAACGAAGCTCCATGTGACCAACTTAATGTATATCTATATGTATAGAATCAACCCGATATCAAACTTTAACCATGCTCACAAATGCACGTAGTCTGTGCAATTAGGAGGAGTTGACAGAATTTGTAGAGGGATTTATTATTCCAATTTCATAACTTCACAGTGACACCACCTATTTACAAGTGTGTTCAATTGAGAGGTAACCACGTCTAAGTAGCTTTGACCTCCTCTATGGATATGTAGTAGAATCTAGCCTCTGTTAGTTTGAAACTTGTGCAAGAGAAGCTAATTTAAGTAATTTGAGAGATAACGGTCTATCATTAACGAGTTGTAATCTAAACAAGTGATTGTAAGCTCAAGAAGGAAAGCAAGTGAGAGCTTCTTCAAGTTAATCTTATGATTTCTCACACTTTTCATATCAAATTAAAGTGGAATCTTCTACCGTGTCAAGCATATTCTTCAAAGTCCATATTTGCTTGAGTCCACATATGATCAAGATAACCAGTACATCACCTCACACTTCCATTCTGGAAAACATGTTATAGGATTGATCTTGACCCTGATTCCCGTCAAATAGATTCTTTCCATCTCTAGGCATCATTTTAATGTGTCTCAAGAAATTCTAGCCATACGTTCATTGTTAATATTTAGGCTTTTAGCTGTCTTGCAGTCATTGTTCTTGGAGCAATATGGTCAGATAATGAATAATGGTGAGATCATGCTACAATTATGTAGTCTGATAAAGATCTACATATCATTTTCTCTTACACTCGAACATATTTATATGTAGTACATTTATGAATCTTAAAATTGCTACAATTTAGTTAGACAACCGAGTTAGCTATGCAGTTATACATGCTTCAGATTTCCTTTTGCAGCACACTTGGGCAAGGACTTGAAACCAGCACTTACCCTGGCGAGTCTATATTCAGCATAGCACTTGCAATCTTGGGGCTCATTCTTTTTGCTCTCTTGATTGGAAATATGCAGGTACAGATTCCCTAGCAACTTTGTAACTTTTTCCGTGCATTATCTTTATTTTATGCTGTTATACTTTTGTACATTGTCTGTACATTCTCTCTTATTCACTCTTTTTTTACTTCCGAATACATTTAGGACTTGTTTACTACTAGTGTTTATCGAATAACCATGTTATAATTTGCATATAATTATTATTATGTATCCCATGTCGTAAACAAGCTCTTATTTGATAAAATTAAATTCTCACATTTTACTAGATATTGAGCAGCTACATTCAAGTTTGGTATATACTTTCCAATTTGGGACTAAAGACGAAGTCGAGGGAAAAAATGTGACTAGTAGTCATATTTTGTGTTGAACTTAAGACACAAGATAATTACATTATTATCGAGGGATTCAAAAAAGGAAATGTACTTAAGCACCATTCTGATGCTTATCCAATAAGAGAGTTGGCAACCACACTATGCTCAAACTATAGCCAGATTGAGAACACTTTGCTGGCCAGTGCTCCCCATTTAGCAAAGAAATCTGCCATATTGTTGGTGCTCCTAGTAATATGCTGAGAAATGATTTATGAGCATTTAGAGATGGAGTGACTTAACTTGTTGATTTCGTTATCAAATTTCCAAGGAGGAGCAGTGTGTTGGATCGAATCAATGGCATTTTATAATTTAAACTTGTGATCACACAACCAAAACAACTGTAACTCTTCAGCTGAGATAAATTTTAAAGCAACTGCCTTGGTCTTAGTTTCGGGAGCTACTCTGAATATTACACATTCTTAGATATGACATTTTAAAATATTGATTTACAGTAAGCGGCTTTATTGCGGGCATGTTGGTAGTGTCATAATTTAAAGCCACTTTGCTACTGAAGTTTTAGTTCTGGAAATACATAAATGATTCAAGATTTATGAACTGTAGTTCTTGAATTTTTGTATTGGTTTTATGTTGGCAGACATACCTACAATCACTTACTATTCGGCTTGAGGAGATGAGAGTGAAGAGGCGTGACTCAGAACAATGGATGCATCATCGGTTGCTGCCGGCAGAACTCAAAGAACGAGTCAGGCGCTATGATCAGTACAAGTGGTTAGAAACACGTGGAGTGGATGAAGAAAGCTTGGTCCAAAGTTTACCCAAGGATCTCCGTCGAGACATAAAACGCCATCTTTGTTTGGCTCTGGTGAAGAGGGTAAGCTCATATAGATATCTATTTTGACCTTGCTTTCTGCCTCTTTGAGTCTTTTAATTTACTACTATTTGATATCTGCTGCATTAGGGGTGTGAATGAGAATTGAAGTGGCAAGTTCAGATTTCTCAAATATTGCATTTGAAAATTCTGACCAAATTCAGTTCTAGTTCAAATTTAATTTCGCATCAACTTGAATTCTAATTTTGGTATTTCGACAGTATTCTTTGTTCACTTTGGGGAATTTTTTTTTTCTTTTCTTCTCTTTTCTTGTGTTGATGTAAATTAGTTGTTGGATGTGAATGTTCGAATTTGGTGTTGAATATAATACTTTTAGAGGAAAATTGAGGATTGAATAGCAAAAAATAAGAACAAATTGACTTTATATATTAAGTAATTGGATTTGTAATATTATGATTGTAATTTAAGTAGAAGTTAAGAGTATTTAATATTAGTGTAAATTACTTTTACTAGCGTAGGAAATAGATACTTTTTTTTTTTTTTAAAAAAAATTGTATGGTTTGAATAGTGTTGGTTTTGATTCGAGGCCAAAAATCAAGCAAAACCGAACTTGATAGTGTAAGTTCCCGGATATTTGAATAAATTTTTTCAGTGCATTCTGAAATAAGGATCATGAGATTCATTTGAATGTGCACTCCTAATCTAATCTGCAAGATGCTTCCTAAAACTTGAATGGTTTGGAAAACTTGTAAAACTCCGAATTTTCGCTTGCAGGTCCCGCTGTTCGAGAACATGGACGAGAGACTACTCGATGCCATCTGCGAAAGGCTGAAGCCATGCCTATTTACAGAACATACCTACATTGTCCGAGAAGGGGATCCAGTCGACGAGATGATATTTCTCATCCGCGGTCGACTAGAGAGTGTGACGACAGACGGTGGAAGAAGTGGTTTCTTCAACCAAAGCTTACTGAAAGAAGGCGATTTTTGTGGGGAGGAGCTTCTAACCTGGGCACTGGATCCTAAATCTGGGTCGAATCTCCCATCTTCGACTCGGACAGTGAAGTCCCTCACTGAGGTGGAAACATTCGCCCTCACAGCAGAGGAGTTAAAATTCGTTGCCAGCCAATTCAGGCGGCTCCACAGCCGGCAGGTACAGCACACGTTCCGATTCTATTCGCAGCAATGGCGCACGTGGGCTGCCTGCTTTATTCAAGCTGCATGGCGCCGCTACTGCAAGCGAAAAATCTTGGAGCTGAAGAGGAAAGAAGAAGAAGAAGCAGCTGAAGGATCGGCTGAGGCTCGGAGCAGTGCCGGTGGAGGGTCGTATAGCATCGGCGCCACATTTTTGGCTTCGAGATTTGCTGCGAATGCCTTGCGGGGTGTGCATAGAAACCGGAACCTCAAGAGCGCCCGCGATTTGGTCAAGCTGCAGAAGCCCCCGGAGCCCGATTTTTCGGCGGATGCCGATTAAAATTAGTTTAGATTATGATGTGAAGATAAGATAAAGAGTCGTCTTCGCGCGCGTGTGCGTTTTTTATTTTTTATTGTATATTATTGTGTGCATTGGGAGATTTGTAAGGTTTTATGGAGAATTAGTAATTCTCTTTGATGCAATGGTGTGAATGACTTCGATGGCAAGGGAAGTGCCATATGCTGTAATAAGTTTTGGGATATATATATATACTGTGATGTACATCAGTGAATATATATGACTTTTAGTGTATATATAATGTCTCGTGCAGCACTTATTTTAGAATTACGATTTTCTAAAAATAATATTTAATATTTTTTTACACAAAAAATTAATTATAAAAAATTAAATATTTATTATAAAAAGTTAAAAAAAAAAAAATATTTAATTTAAAATAATATATTTTATATTTTTTATACATAACCGAGCCAATGTTATACAAAATATTATTCCTTAGGAGGGAAAATATATGAAGCCCAAAGCTATGGAATTCAAGAAGCCTGGTTATCATAGTTCATGAATAGAGTTGGAGAGTCCAATCGGCCCAGTCCATTTGTGGAAGATTTTGGCCCAGACGAGAAGCCCTGCCCTGGGCGTTTGCACCTAGAGCTGTCACTTCGTATTTTCGGATTGTGTTCGTGTCGAGTTAAGCTATGAGGTAGTAAAAAACTGTCAAAATGAACCCGAAACTTGATCCGAAATCCTAGATTCGAATACGACACGAATTTTTTCGAATAGGCTTCAGGTAAACCCAATATAGTTTCAGATCACCCGAAATTCGATAAATTTAAACATAAAATAGACCCGAAAACATAAAAACAATTAATTTACCTAAAAAAATTAATTATTTTATATTTAATAAAATGTAAATATTATATTAAAAAAATAATAAAAATAATTTCAGACTCGAAATATAAAATCCGAAACCCAACTTGATTTTTATATTTCGGATTATCATATCAATCCGAAACTTGACCCGAACACACCCGATTTTTTTTTTTGTTTCTGTTATGAGAAAACAAGAAAGAAAATAAAAAAAAGAATACAGAGGTTTTATGTGGTTCGGTGACGGTATGTCAACCTACATCCACGGACAGGAACCAAAGAAATTTTAGTATATTGATTTAGAGAGTTACAATCATTGTCCTACGGCTAGGAACCATAACTATTTATCTATAAGCACCTTAAAAACACCATAAACCTTAAGCCCATTTTTAATTAATTAGGATAAGCCCAAAAGGAACCTGTCAATTGAAACAACATTTTCGCTTTGGTTCCGGGTTGGGTAGACCGCTAAATTCAAGTTCCGTTTCAACAATCTCGACCTTGACTTGGAGTTTCTCCGACCGCCAAAAGTTCCTCAGTATCTCTCAGTCGTCTCTTTACTGACAGATACCCCGAGGGGACTTTACCTCCTACGAATATTCACCAAGTTCAAGCAGTGCTCGAACTTCTTCTTTGGTAGCGCCTTTGTCAACATATCAGTTGGATTGTGTTATGTAGTTATTTTATTTGTCTTCCTCCATAACATCACGGATAAAATTTAACCTTACATCAATATGCTTAACTATCGCATGATACACCAGATTTTTAGCTAAACTCAAAACACTCTGACTATCAAAGAATAACATCGGTTTCTCCACCTTCAGATCCAAACTCTGCACCAGACCATGTAACCAGATACCCTCCTTAACACCTTCAGTCATTGACATGTATTCCGCCTCAGTTGTCGACAGTGCAACTGTAGGTTGTAAAGTAGACTTTCAACTGACTGCACATCCAAACATAGTGAAGATAAAGCAAGTAAGTGATCTTCGTTTCACCAAGTCACCCCCGTAATCAGAGTCTGCATAGCCAACCATACCATCACCATGGCCTTTATCATCATATGCCAGACAAATATCAGACGCTCATTTCAAATATCGCAAGATCCACTTTACAGGTCCCAGTGAGCTTTACCCGGATTAACCATAAACCTGCTCACCACACTAACCGCCAATGCATAAGCCACAGAATTCATGTCACATATATTGATACATCCTTCAAACCTAGCTGGTTTATGAATATTTCTCTTTTCATTTCTAGCTGCAATGGAATCTTCAACCCCAGTACCAGTATCATCAGCTTCTTCCTCAACCAGTTTCCATTGAGGTTTTGACTAATCTGGTTGATGGGATTGATTATCCTGTTGCTCTTCCTCTAATAGAATTCTGTCATGAATCTCAAACTCCATCATTTGGCCAGCACCACAATTTTTTGTACCTGTAATACTTTCACAACCTTTACTCTGATCAAGCATAGCAGATTCATTAAATGTTACATCTCTACTAATAAGAAATTTACTAGGATTTTTACATTCTGTACACCATAGTCGATAACTTTTGACTCCTGTTGCATACCCTAAAAATATGCATTTTACCGCCCTCGGTTCCAGCTTACCATCATTCACATAAGTGTATATAGGGCATCCAAATATTCTTAGATTAGAGTAATTATAAGGTTTACCAGACCATACTTCTTGAGGAGTCTTTAAGTTAATTGCTGTTGATGGAGATTTGTTAACTAGATAGCTAACTATGTTAACTGCTTCAACCCAAAATTGCTTAGATAAGCCAGCAAATATGCGCATACACCTAGCACACGCCATGAAGGTTTGGTTCATACACTCCGCAACCCCATTTTTCTGTGGTGTATGTCGTACAGTGCGGTGCCTCATTATACCTTATTTCTTGCAGAAATCATTAAATGAGGCGTTGCAGAACTCCACCCCATTATCATTTCTTAGAGTCTTGATCTATTTACCCATCCAGTTTTCAACCATGTTCTTTCACTCATTGAACTTACCCAACACCTCATCTTTAGTCTTCAGAAAGTACAACCAGACTTTTCTTAAATAATCGTCTATGAAAGTGACAAAGTAAAAACAACCACCATGCAATTTCACCGGAAACAGACCCCATAAATCTGAATAAACATACTCCAGAATTTCTTTTGAAGTGTGATGACCGGTACTAAATCTCAACCTGTGTTGCTTCCCTTTTATACAAGCCTCACAGAATTGAATTTTACCTATCACATCCCCACCAAATAAACTCTGCTTGCTCAGCACAGACAACTCCAGCTCACTAATGTGACCCAATCGACAGTGCCAAAAATTTGTCCTATCATCATGTTTATCCAAGGACTGGGATACCGCCGCCGTTTCCATCACTGAACTACCCTGTAGAAAATAAATTTCATGCTTCAGTTTTCCCTTCATCATCACCAGAGCACCTTTCAGGACTTTTTACCCACTCACCTTCACCATGATATTTTAAACTATTCTTGGCTAAGGTGCCAAGATAAATCAAATTCTTTCTGAGTTCAGGAACATACTAGCAATCAAATTTCAGCACCGTCATGCAATTTTATTTGCACTAATCCCGCTCCCCTTTATGGCTAGAACCCCATCATTACCTAACTTTACCGTTCTATTTCACTCCTTGAAAGAAGTGAGTAAATCACGAGAGAACGTCATATGGTGAGAAGCACTGATATCCATAATCCAAGAATCAACAGTACTAGCACTACACACTGTCAGAACTTCACCAAGGTCCCCATCATCATAACTGTCTTGTACCACAGCACCACTGCCACTGTTACTAGACTCAATTTTTGTATTTCGCTTCTTCTATGGACAATCCCTTTTTAATGTGCCCCTTCTCTTTGTAAATATAACACTTTACTTTGCTAGAGGATTTTAATTTTGAACGCGACCTCCCATTCCCATTACCCCTCTCCTGTGGTCTTCCCCTACCTACAAACAGACTTGAACCATAATATTCTTCCAGAGAAACCTTTATTTTCAATTCTTTGGAATAAGGGCATCTTTCACATCATTAATAGAAATTGTAGTTCTACGATATAACATAGTATCTACAAAATTTTCATATGAACCAGGTAGTGAACACAATAAAATTAGGGCTTAATCTTCATCATCTATTTTAACCTTAACCCCTTGAAGATAAAAAATAATACGGTTAAAGGTATCAATTATGATCCTTTACCGGAGTACTTTCGGACATCCGGAGGGTGTAAAGTCGTTGCTTCTGATATAGCCTGTTTGTGAGAGAATTGTTTTGGTACTTCTCACACAGTTTATCCCATAGCCCAGAAGCCGTCGTCTGATCTACAACCTTCAGTAACACCTCAACAGTAACTGATAACAACATCGCGGAAGGAGCCCTTACCAAAATCTCATTCTTCATCTCCTCCTTCGTGTCTTTAGGAAACTTGTCTTCTCCCACCAACGCAGCCGCACATCCTTGTTGAACTAGAAGTGTCCTCATCTTGACCTTCCAGAGCGTGAAGTCATTCGACCCATTAAATTTATCCAGATCAAACTTTTACGAGGACATCTTCAATCAATCAGATATGACTCTGATACCACTTGTTATGAGAAAAAAAAAGAAAGAAAGCAAATAAAACACATAGAGGTTTTACGTGGTTCGGTGATGGTATGTCAACCTACTTCCACGGGCAGGAAGCGGAGATATATTATTATACTGATTCAGAGAGTTACAATCATTGTCCTACGGCTAGGAACCATAACTATCTATTTATAAGCACCCAAAAGATTTTAAACCCTAAGTCCATTTGTTATTAATTAGGATGGGCCCAAAAGAAACCCTGTCAATTAAAACAACCTTTTCACTTTAGTTCCGAGTCGGGTAGACCGCTAAATCCAAGTCACGGTTGAATAGTTTCGGTTCGAGCGATCCGATTTTTCACAAACCTGAAATACCCAAATTCGAACCTGAAAAATTTTAGGTCCTACGGTTCAGTTTTATGTCGGGTTTAATTTTGACACTCCAATTTGCACCAAATAAAAGTCAAGTTTTGATAGGGCAAAGCCGCATAGTGTTGAAGTTTGTTGGAATAATGAAGGAGTTTAAGGGATAAAAATTACAAAATAATACAAAGTTTTGTATAGACTTTTGAGAGATATGTATTAGACACTTTTCTGAGTCCAATTTCAACCAATTTTTATCTTCTTTCTTCGTGTAGATATTTTCTTTATTTTTTTGCTTTCTTGCTTTATTTTTCTTTTCATTTTGTTTCGTCTTGCATTTGTTCGAACATGATTTCAGAATCTTTTCTTGAGGAGATCGAAAAGCCACTCAAATTTCGCCCGACTGGCTCCAGCGCCTATAAGTCGCTGGAAAATAATTTGAGTGAAAACAGTTTGATATGCTCAGTGGAACATATCATAT